ATAGCAAAATTTTTATTGATAATAGTTATCCCTCATCGATATGTTATTAATATAATTTTTTTTGTTCAATGTACTTATGATTTATGATTATGTAAATTATTGTTTGAGTACCCTATCGATATTAGAATTTTTTTAACAAAACAATTTTTTGAGGCCTTTATTTTGGGATTTACAATAAATAAGAAATTTTCTTTAAAGACATGTAATAATTTATATTTATTTTATGCAATCCAATAATTTATTTTAAATCCCTATTTAAAATGGATTGCAATTCTCTTTGTATTATGTTAGTGACCGATATGCCATATCGGTGTGATGTTGTGTGATAGAGAATATATTTGAATATTTGTTTGATTACTTCAAAACTTTTGAATTGATAAATCAACTATTTTTCTCTATCAAGTGGGAGAATCTAACTTATCAATTTTATAAAAATGTCATTTTTTATAAAAATAAGAAATAAATATTATTTATTTAATAAATATTTGTTTAATATAGAGATTTATATTAAAGACAATATTGTCTTTTATATATATATATACACGCGAAAGACGAAAGTCTATGACTATTTTGTTGTATTTTAATTAAATTAAAATTAAAGTACTTTTTATTTCCGCTGCGTGTAACCTACTTGAGTTTTGAGTGAGTTATTAAAATAACTCATATAATTTCATTTTGTAATTTAAAATACTAAGTATTTAATCTCATTCATATGATGATAATTTTGTTTTATATAATTATCATACTATTATGTGAATGTTATTTTATTTATGAAAATTATTTTAAGAATTTTATTTGTTATAAGGAGATTTTTCATTGCTTATTGTAAGTTGAAATTAACAATCACCATATTTCTAAATGTAGAATAAGTGATTAACTATGAAACTCAGATTTTGATAAAAAAATCTGTCATTTATAAATATTGAGTTTCATATTATTATTCTGTTACCACTTGTGTTGATAAATATGCTATATTTATGTGCAAAATAAGTGATTAAGTTTTTGAAATATTTATAAATTGTAAAACCACTTTTGTCGACAATTTTGTACTAAGAATTAAATATTTCATTATTGAGCATTATATAATTAAAGTATTCAATACTAGTAGACTTTTATAAATTCTTGTCCTACTTATAAATGTTTGATTACTCTGAATGTATGAGTACAAAATCATATAATTTTTATGATTAAATGTAATTACACTCGTAATAGGTTATCTTATATGTAATTACTATTCTCAGGCCTATGTGGATATTCTATGACCTTTAATTTAAAAAACTCATAAGTAAAATCACTGAACACAGACATATACACATGATTAAGTCTTATGATATTTTGGGTTAGTGAGAGTTTATCAATAACATTTTCATATGTTTGGGCCATTCTGTATAACATGTTTTTCTTCACTTAAATATGTTACTCTCAATTCATCATTCTTAATATAAAATATGAGTCTTTAACATATATGATTTGTTTTCTCTATCTGATATAGTTTCTACAATGTTGAAGCTTAATTTTCTTTTTGATTGATTAGTGTTTTGACTATAGTTAGTAACATAATATTAAGATCAATATCTTTAATAATTGATTATCGCCATCCAAGTGAGAGATTATTAGATTAATCATTTAATTCATCAAATGGATTTACATAATCAATTATAAATTAATTATAGTATGTTCAATTGTTATTAAACACTAATTATTGATGAATTATTTGATTGAATTTTGTACCTGAATGGATCGTGATGGGTTGGATAATTTAGTTAAGTTCAATGAGAAATATCATCCCTCAGCCATTTAGCTATTCAATTGTTATTCTATTAGACAATTAACCTATTCTGAAACCCTAAACGGCAATGAGGACTATTGCAATGAGGATAATAGTTCTCTCATACTCACTCTTCTGATTATAGTCTCTCATCAAATCCTATGAGGTACACTGTTCTTATTATTCTTGATATTATAATATGATATAATTATATCTATTCAATTAATTAAATCCTTCAAAGTTAGGTCAACACATGTCACTAACAAAATAGTATTATATATGAATATTTTTTAAAAAGCACAATATTCCAAATTGTTTTTAAGGGTGTATAAGATTGATTACGGTACAAAACCTCGAATATTTTTTGATAAAATTGTGACTAAACAAAAGCTCATAATAGATCTATCATAATTAAACAATTACTAAATAAGATCTGTTTTTTAATCGTTCACCTATAATTAATCAACATTGAAATTTTAAAAAAGTTAAAACGACTTTGACAATGTTCATTGTAAGAGCTTATAATCAATACATATCATCGTCACTTTGTAAAGTGTTATCCTCTTCAAAGGTGTTATCTTCATTTTTGAAGAATGTATGTCGACGATTATTCATCGGTTTTGAACTTGGATGGAGTTAACTAGTAAATCTTCCAATCCTTTTAATTTTATGTTTGAAATATTTTACCTCTCCTATATTTTAGAATGTGGGGTTCTTTGTAATCTTAAAAAAATGTCACTTGGTAATAAATGTCTATTTTAAAATATTTAGACAAATAAGAGTATCCGTAAAAAGATGCGGGTTTGAATTTCTTTATATAGTCATAAGTAAAAAGTTTAAAATTTATATTATTAGATATATTTTGTGTATGGGTAAATAGGATGAAAACATGATTATATGAACTTGATTAAGATTATTAACTTATGAAATTGAAGATTGACTTTTTATTGAATACTTCTCAAAATCGTTTCAATTAAAATATAAAAAAATTTGTTTTTACAATCAAGGTGTTTCAATATCTTTGACATTTTTTACTTCATAACGTCATATATAATGAAACCTTAAAAAAACGTGCATAACAATACTACTCTTTTTACTTTCATAACCCTAAAAATATGAACACACTTTGTAATTTTTTTAGCTACTGTTATGGATAGGGCCGAAACCTGCCCTTCAGTCGGACATGCCCAACCTAAGGCTATGTCGATAAGGCTCAGTTTTCTCTGTCGAGCATAAGCCTCAACAAGGCACATCCGTCGGGCAGAAGATTCTCTTGACGAGGAAGCCCGCTTCTCCCACGTTCTCCACGTGCCCTCCACGCGGGGACACGTTATCAGACAACTATCCACTTCCGAAAGAGATGGTCAACCCAAACCCACCTTCCGAAGATCACATGGTAGTTGATTTTGGGCGAATACCACGTGCTAGTCTTCACCACGTCACGTAAGCTCTGACAGTTATTTGTGTTGGGTTTGGCAATCCGGTCCACTACAATGTAACCGTTGACCCTGCGTTGTGGGCACATTATAAATACCCTATTTCACTAGAGGGCCATATATTCTATTCATCACACATTCTCTATGTACTCTTACGTACTTAAGCATCAGAACATCTTGTAGGTACACCCTCCTTTCTCCTCCACAACATTGACGAAGGCAGCAACTCACGACGCGTGGTAGGCTACTGATTTATTTCTGGTAAGATCAGTTACCTATATTAAAGATAATAAATATATATATAAACAGAAAGTAATCTGATAATAAATTGTGTTGCTATTCCTTTATTTCTTTTTAGATAATAAAATTAATTTTAGTAAGATATTGGTTGATTCAATTTTAAGTTAATTTATCAATTAAAAATCATCATATCTATTAATTATCCTCTATTTTAGTTTTGAGACGAAGTTTTAAAAATCAAAACTCAAAGAAATTATTGAATTAGTAAGAATCGGTCAAAATTGGCCGAAACTAGTATTAATTGTAGTATGATGTCGTTCTTCGCCGAGTTCCTCTTAGTTTAGTGCTTGCATTCTCTTCTCTTCCATTTCTCTTTTCCATTTTCTTCATCCTCTTCTCTTCCTCTGTATACTATTGTTTCTACATATTTTCATTCTTAACATTCTGAAGTTGTATTATTTTATTTTATCTTAAAATTCAGTGAAATAATAAAAATTATATTACCGTTTTGTTGTTGTTAGTAGTGCTATTATTCATTTTAAATTTAGTTAGTTAATTTGTTCCATGTGCGGTGGAAATTAATTAGTTTTTATCCCTGCATTGCATTATTGCAAAATGAGAAATATTTAGAGGAGTTGTATTTGATGGACTAGGAAAGAATAGAGTTTTTTTTTTCAAATAACTCACTTTTTCAAATTAATACTTAAATTAACTTATTTTTTAAATTAATCTACTTAAAAAAAATATTAATAAAGAGGTGTCGTCAATTCAATTAGCAACATTGTACAAACTCATAAAAGATGTAGCTCATTCAATTGCGATAATGTAAACACAGAAGAGAGAGAATGTACTTTTTTTTACACTGTCGTCAATTAGATTAGCGACACTTTTTTGTTAATTTTTTTAAAAAAATTAATTAGTTTGAGAAATATATGAAAAAATTAGTTAGTTTGAATATTAATTTTAAAAAGTGGGTTATTTGAAGAAAAATTTCAAGAAAATAACAACGCAAGAAGGGAAAACAACAAGAGTGGGACTAATTGTATGTTTAGATTGGCAATGAGTTTGATACAATTAGATTATATCCAATTAGATGTTTATAATTTGAATTAAAGAATTAATTTATAAAATTAAAACATTTTCAATCCTGATTTTTTTAAACTCATTCAATTTGATTGATTTAATAATTATATAATTTTATTATAAAAATAAATTTATTCATTTAATTTAATTCAATTTAATTTAATGAGCCAATAATTAATCAATAAATGAGTAACTTATCTATTCAATTTTAAAGCATTGCTTTCCGGTTAAACTCCCTCATACCTCTTTTTTATTAAGTTTATTCAATTGTGAAAAACAATGTTAATTTTCCAATATCTATGTATTATATTCACAATACACCCTATAGTAAAACAAAATAATATGTAATAAAAAAATCCCCAAAATTGCCGTCTTATAATAGAATAGAACTAATCATTCAATACAAACAGTCCCTTCTAAAAATCGTCTTCTTCACACCAAACCCCCCCAAAACACACTCGCACACCACAACGATGACCACTTACGGCACAATCCCAACCTCATCCTCACCCCCAACCAATCTCGAATTCATCTCACGCGCCAAAGAAAGAATCAAAGCCGGTCTCGGAACTCGCCGTCCATGGAAACTCATGTTCAATCGCCGATCATTCAACCTCCCTTCCGGTTTCCCAGACGCACTCTCGCGCGTGAAGACTAACCTCTCTTACTTCCAGATGAACTACGCTATCGTGATTCTCATCGTTCTCTTCCTCAGTCTTATATGGCATCCAATCTCGCTCATCGTCTTCGCTGCTCTCATGGCCGCCTGGCTCTTCCTCTACTTCCTCCGCGACGAACCGATTGTTATCTTCGGGAGACTCGTCAGTGATCGTGTTATTCTTGTTCTGATGTTGATTCTCACCGTCGGGCTGCTTCTCTTCACCGGTGCGGTCCTTAATATCCTCGTCGCGGTTTTGATCGGTGTTGTGATGGTTTTGGTTCATGCTGCTTTCAGAAATACTCATGATCTGTTTCTTGATCAAGAAGAAGGACTTTTGTTTTCTCCTCCTGGTGGTGCTCCTGTTTCTTGATTCGATTCATTTTCTTTGTGTTTTGCTTTGATTTTGTTCCTTTGTGAAATTTGTTGATGATTCTAGGTTTTACGATTTTCTTTCTTTTTTGGGGTTTGGGGTTTGTGAAATTGTGAAGAAGAATAATTGCTAGATCCGTTGAATTGTGTATCGCTGAATTTTTGTTGTTTGTTAACCACATAAAAAAAAAATCAGAAATCTTTATTTTCCACTATCTTTTTCGTTGTTTGTAAATACTTAAACCCAAAACTACAAGGAAATGACTAAACGCGTAAATTAGTTTGACATTATTATTTTACAACGATTATACATTCTGCAAAATCAGATTAAAAATTTTAAACCACCAAACCTACGATATAGCAAATTGGAGTGTAAAAAATATTTATATTATCAGTGTCTCAAAGATAATTTTTTAGACAATTTTATAAATATAATCAGGGTAAATAATTTAAATAAGTTGATTTTAAATTAAATTAAATGTAAAACAAATATTAAATTAAATGAAATCTTGAAGTATTGCTTTCTATAAATCTTGGTAAATATTAGGGACAATCCCCTTTAAATCCACTTAGCAAAAAGATTAAAAATTGCAAAAATTTGACCCGTTTCAAAAAAAAAATTAAACATTAAAAAACAGATATGTTCGATAAATCGAATCCATTTTGTCAATCTAGAATGCATCCATCAAATTCGAATTCATTTTGCCAATCTAGAATGCAGCCATCAATCCTTTTAAAATAGAAAAAAAAATGTGAGAATTTTTTATTGCAGACTAAATTCTACTACTGCACACTATATCTATTTTCATAAATGCTTTTTGTTTTCGAAAATGTATGTCCGTACGCACATTTTTCACACTCAAGACTATTCAGAGACGCCTCATATATTGAGTTATTTTTATTCCGAAAATACATCTTCGAGTTTTCATAAATGTCCTTTGTTTTTAGAGATGTATGTCTGGACGCACCTCTTACACACTCAAGACCATTTTGAGAAATGTTTTATATAGAGTTATTTTTATTCCGAAAATACATCTTCGAATAATTGCTAGATCCATTGAATTATGTATTGATAAATTTTTTGTTGTTTGTTAATCACATTAAAAAAATCAGAAATGTCTTTTTTTTTCATCTACCGTCTTAAAAGTAAAAACTGTTGGACAAATTTATAAGTTGTTTTCACAAACTATTAATAAATCAAAAATAATTTAGAACTAATACATTAAAAAATATTATAAATTTTCTTAAATGATAATTTTTTAGATAATTTTATAAATATGATCAGAGGGTAGATGATTTAAATTCTTTAATTTAAACAAGTATTACATTAAATGTAATCTCGAAGTATAGTTTTCGCAAATAAGAATATTAATCATGCTTTGCAAAAAGGCTAAAAACTATGTTAATTCTCTCAAAGAATATTAAATGTAATCTTTGACGAGAGAATTAACTAGCAGCCCCACGAGGTTGAACACACACCCAGGGTGGCCCAAAGGCCTCCCATTGTTTTAGTTCATAGAAACCAGGACCCAGACTATGTGGTTAGACAGATTTGACACGAAGCCATGGCTGGTGAACCCAACTTAGAAGCCATGGTGGAACAAATTATGATTCGCAACGGGGAGAACCTAGCCCTTCAACGACCAACATATACGTCCCCACTACCAGACTTTTTTCTACAAACAGAGTTTCCTAGAGGGCGGAAAGTGCCAAAGTTTACCAAATTCGCCGGAGAGACCGAGGAGTCCACCGTCGAGCATGTTACCAGATACCAAACTGAAGCTGACGACATAACAAACAACGAGGATTTAAAATTGAAATACTTCCCAAGTTCCCTCACCAAAAATGCATTTACTTGGTTCACCACTTTACCCCCACAGTCCGTCCAGACCTGGGCGCAATTTCAAAGATTGTTTCATGAAGAGTTTTATATGGGACAATCTAAAATTAGTAGGAAAACGTTAGCCAGTGTCAAGCGAAAGGCTACAGAGTCGGTGGACCAATATCTTAACAGGTTTAGACTGTTGAAAGGGCGATGCTTCACGCAAGTCCTTGAACATGAACTAGTCGAGATGGCGGCTGGCGGCCTAGATTATTCGATCAGGAAAAAGCTAGACACTCAATATCTCTGAGATATGGCACAACTAGCCAATAGAGTCTGTCAGGTCGAACGCCTAAAAAATGAGAAAACCCAGGCTAACAGATACCGTAAGAAAGAGAAAGTTTCGTATGTGGCTGTTGACGAATACTCGTCTAATGATGAGGAGCTCGTCGATGATAACGCGGTCAACATGGCGGAACTGAAGCCAGGGCCTCTGTATACATGCAAATCATTAAAACCGTCAAATGGAAAAAATCTGGTTGAAACTGAAAAAACAGATAAATATATCGCAAAAATGTATACTTTCGATGTATCTAAGTGCGATGAAATATTTGATTTATTAGTTAAAGATGGTTAGATTATTGTCACTCTTGGGGCAAAAGATCCCCCTTTAGAATAAAAGGAAAAAAAAGGGATTTTGTAAATTTCATAATTTCCTTGGTCATAAGACATGTCAATGTGTTCTTTTCAGGGACTTGGTGCAGAAAGCTTTGAAGGAAGACCGACTTCAATTCGGTGAAAGGCCCAAAATGCAAGTGGACACAGATCCTCTGAAAGTCGAAGAAGCCTTATATTCTGAGCTATACGACTGCATGATGGTGGAGGCTACTGAAGGTCTCAACAGGCACCAGACAACTGAAACAATTGAGTGCATGATGGTCAATACTACTAATGGTCCCGACAAGAAGTCTGAAGAGAAGCTCGAGGCAGTTTACCCTCAAGCTGGCAAGAGTCTGATTGATTTCCAGGAGAAATGCAGGGTGAGCGGGTCAAAGGTTGTATTATCTCTAAAGTGCAACGCCGTGTTTGATGAAAAGACCGCTGAGAAGTATGAAGCAGGTAAGAAAATGGCGTTGCAAGACAGTAAGCCACAAATCCCTTGGTTCGTGTTCGACAAGAACGATGCTCCTTGACAGAACAAAAAGTACAGAAAGTTGTTCCAACCAGCACGACCCAAGACTTTTGTGACACCTTCAAATACCCCATAAGATAAGTGGATGGCGCCTGTGAGCCAGCAAGGAAGCAAGCGGCCGAAGTGGAAGGCATTAGATTTGGAGAAGGGGTCAAAGGCCTCAGACAAGGGTACTGAGCCCAAAGGTTACGTGGTTTCCCCCAACTGCCAAGGAAATAATCTTATGACAAGAACCCAGTGGAGACGATATCAAAGAAACAAAAAGGCTGCAAGAGAGGCCTCGACTTTGATCCTGAAGCCTGTGGGACCCTCTGGCCTGAAAAGGTAATACCCATAAGCAAGGTGGGTCGAGAAAGAGAAAATTGTGACGAACTAGACAACGGTCGTGATGGTTGAGACTTCAGGAGAAAAGGGGACGGTGTCAACCTAGAGTTTGAAGTACACATCTAGAGGTGAAAACAAGAAGGAGTCGGAGTATTCTCCCCAGTCAGATGAAGAATAACCGGAGTACACTCCCCAGTCGGAGGAGGAAAATGCCCCCTCACCGGAAGACGATTTCGAAGAAGACGTGTATGATGACACCAATGATGATGCTTATGGTGAAGGCTTTATTGTAAATTGCGGCATCATGTCGATATTGCCGGCAGAATATCATAGGGTGTCGGAAGTCTCTGAAGCAGAAGAAGATTTCCTAATGGAGGAGACTACGGAGGACAAGCCATTATGCTACTACGTGATGAACAGTGGTATGGTGAAAGAGCGAACAACTATGTTCGAAAGACCTAGTCTTGGAATGATGTATCACTTAAATCCATTGTTCATAAAAGCGAAGGTCGATGGGGGTAGCTGTCAACAAGGTATTCGTGGATGGAGAGGCAACTGTCAATTTAATGCCGAATTTGTTGTTCACAAAAATTGGAAAAACTGAAGCTGATCTCCGACAACACAATATGGTTCTATCCAACTATGAAGGGAAGACCAACAACATTTTGGGAGTGGTCCAAATCGGGCTAGCTGTAGGTACCACTACCCGATCAACGCTTTTCATGCTCATAAACTCGAGGGCAAATTTCAACCTCTTATTGGGTCAAGAATGGATCCATGGGATAGGGGAAGTTCCTTCAACGCTACATCAAATATTAAGCATTTGGAGGAAAGACGGCGTCATTGAAAATATTGAAGCTGACCAGAGTTATTACAGGATGGATGAAGCAAAGGGTACCAAGAAATCTTTTGACCAACACCTAGAAAATGTGGCATCTTGTAATGATGGATCGGGATCTTACACTTCTGTCAACACGGATCGCATCCTGAACTTGGATCCTAACTACGAATTCGTTTGGGATGCTGCTTACGCTACAATGACACCCACAAAAGAACTTCCACCCACAGGGTGGCCCACAATTGATGAAAATGACTACTGAGTCAGAGAGTTTGACTCGAGTTTCGGCCTATTTGGCTGAAAACAAGTAAAAGTCGGCACTAGCAGCGAGAAAGCGACAGAACATGGCTGGAGATGCCGACAGCAGTACACAAGTGATTGGCCGGCAAGGCCAGGCAACAGCTTCAGAAATCCAGAGGCTTGATTGCATTTATGACAATGAGCCTTTGAGGTTTGAGAAAAACCCATCAATTAAGTTGTAAAGAATGAAGGCGCAAGACCCAATTAAAGAAGTCGACTTGGGTGATGGGACAACAAAGAGACCTACATATGTAAGCACTAAGATTGGGTTGAAGATGAAGGTCAAGCTGATCGAGGTATTGAAGGAATACAAATATTTCTTTGTCTAGGATTACAGTGAAATGTCTGGTTTAAGTCGGAATGTAGTAGAACACCTCGTGGTATACTTTACGATGGCGAAACGACTTTTGGAACGCTTCGAAGTTGTCAGCATTACACACGTGCCCAGGATAGAAAATCAAGAGGCCAACGATTTAGTGCAAATCGCCTCTAGATACAAAGTGTCGGTGAAAAATCTAAGAGACT